AAAAAATTGATGTTGGGCTTGAGAGATGGCTCAGTGGTTGAGAGCACTGCCTGCTCTTCCAAAAGTCCTGAGTTCAATTCCCAGCAACCACATGGTGACTCACAACCATCTATAATGAGATCTGGTTCCCTCTTCTGGCCCACAGGGAGGCAAACCACTGTATAGTCAATAAATAAATAAATCTTTAAAAAAATGATGTTAGAGATTATAAATTATGAATTGGAGGCTAGCTGAACATCACAGGAAAATTCAAGGGCAGTCTGAGTTGTACAGCAACACGCTGCCTCAACAAAAATTTTAATGGGGGACTGGAGAGATGGCTCAGAGGTTAGGAGCACTGACTGCTCTTCCAGAGGTCCTGAGTTCAATTCCTAGTATCCACATGGTGACTCACAACCATCTGTAATGAGATCTGGTGCCCTCCTCTGGCCTGCAGGCATACATTCAGGCAGAACATTATTCATAATAAATAAATAGATCTTAAAAAAATTTAATGGTTAGAAATTTTAAACATAAATCTTGCTGAATGTGGTGGCACATGTCATTTATATCAACACTCGAGAGGCAGAGACAGTTAGATCTCTGTAATTTCAAGGCTAGCCTGGTCTATAAATTGAGTTCCAGGTCAGTCAAGGTCACACAGTGAGACCTTATCTCAAAAAAATATATCTTAATATTTACAAAAGAAAAATATGACTTGAAACTCACAAAAGACAAATGAAATCTATTATAGGTATTTGAAAATTACATAAAACATAAGGAAAATTTAAAAACATTTACAAACATCACAAAAAATAAGATAATATAAAATAAGATAGTTTTCCTAGGTATGTATAGGGCTGATACAAGTCAATAAGGAAAAAGACTCTAAAAATGTGTGAGCCTTGTATCCAATATCAAAGAAAAACAAAGAGCTGATTCTTAGTTTTAGTAAGGAAATTGAAAATCGAAGTTATACTGAGCGGGGGCATGGTGGAGAATGCTGTAATTCCAGTGCTTGGGAAGTGGAGGCATTCAGGGTCATCCTCTGCTACACAGTGAGTTTGAGGCTAACCTAGGCTAACAAACAGAAAATCCATGCTATACTGAGATACCCTGTTGAAATATTTCGTTAGGGCTTTAACAAATAAAGTTAGCCTGAGGATCTGAGCATGGAGTGAGCCACTAGTTAACCAAAGAGGCCAGGCAGTGGTGGCACACACCTTTAATTCCAGCACTCAGGAGGCAGATGCAGATGGATCTCTGCGAGTTCAAGACCACCCTGGACTCCACTAGACTGACCCAGTCTCAAAGAGAAACAGAGCCAGGCAGTGGTGGCTCACTCCTTTAATCCCAGTACTTGAGAGTCACATGCTTTTAATCCCAACACTAGGGAGGTGAAGACAGGACGGGATGGCTGGCTGAGAGAGGAATATAAGGTGGAAGGAGATAGGAGCTCAGGGCATTCAGTTTGAGGACTTGTACAGACAGAATCACCCATTTGGTCTGAGAATATCATAGAGGTAAGAACTAATGGATGGCTGCCCTGATTCTCTGATCTTTCAGCTTTCACCCTAATATCTGACTCTGGGTTTTTATTATTAAGGCTAAATTCGTGCCACATCACTCCCTGAAAAATTATATTGGCTGTTGTGGAATATTAGTTTAATGTTATATTCAATGTGTTATATTCAATGTGCTATATTCATTTATGCGGTGGAATATTTGTTTAATGATGCAAAGATGTGCTGCCTTCTTTTATGTTGCATTTGTTTAACTTGGTAAATCTGTGTTACTTTGCCTGTCTAAAACACCTGATTGGTCTAATAAAGAGCAGGATGACCAATAGCTAGTCAGCAGAGGGATTGGTGGGGTAGCCAGGCAGAGAGAATAAATAGGAGAAATCAAGTGAAGAGCGAGGAGCGAGAAAAGGAGGAGAGGAGGATGACAGGAGCCCCCAGTCACCCAGCCAGCCACAGAGTAAGAAGGACAAAAAAGATATAAAGGATAGAGAAAGGTAAAAAGCTGAGAGGCAAAGCACAGAAAAAGAGAAACAGGATAATTTAAGTTAGAAAAGCTGGCTAGAAACAAATTAAGCTGAGGTCGGGCATTCATAAGTAAGAATAAGTCTCCATGTATTTATTTGAAAGCTGGATGGTGGGCCCCCAAAGAGTAAAAACAAGACACAAAAACACTACAATTGGCACAGCTCAAACCTCAGCAATACATTGGTAACACACATGCATAGGAATAGCAGGCACTTTCTGTAGCTGAGAGTATATAACTACTATGATGTAACTGCTATTATTGATATAACCACTATGATATAACTACTACTATGATGTAACTACTACAATTGACATAACCACTATGATGTAACTGCTACTATTGACATGGCTACTATGATGTAACTACTACTACTGATGTAACTACTACGATGTAACTGCTACAATTGACATAACCACTATGATGTAACTACTACCATTGATATAACTACGATGATGTAACTACTACTATTGATAAAACTACTATGAAGTAACTACTACTATTGACGTCACTACTATGATGTAACTGCTACTATTGATATAACCACTATGAAGTGAACTTCAGTAAAATTACAGATGCAGAGATTTTCCAACTATACCTTTTATTCCTATTTGTTGTTAATTCTTTACACAAGTTCAAAATGATATTTATACTGTTAAAGCTAAAACAACAAAGCGCTCAAAAATACAATAAACAAGGCATAGGCGACAGTCTCATGATTGTATTGTACTACAGTGACTCTCGTTTGTACTTTCAGCCTTAATATTTTTGATAACCTTTCTGCATTTTTGTATTATTCCTGACAAATTATTATCAAAAAAGAATTTCTCATTTAATGTATATACCTTAACATTTTTTTTTTAGTGGCAATCAAGTCTAACATTCTAGGACTTGGGAGAGTTGTTGCTGTCCATGCATCTATTTTATTCTGAAGAGCGACTGTGTTTTCCTGAACGATAGTTAAATGTTTCTTGGTCTGAGTAGAGAGCTGGCTATGTTGAACTTGTTGACTGCCTATTGTCAAGGCACCAGTGGTCGTGAACCCTGCCAGGGCCATTTTTAGCAGGACTAGTACAGGAGTTCTCTTATTTCTTGAACCTAAGGGGTGTAAGTATTGTTGGACCTCACTTCCTGGAGCACATCTAGTCAGGGCCAAAAGTATCATTCTGAAACTGTCTTCCGGCAACAGGTGTAAGCACCCTTGGGATTTCCCTTAGTTGACACATTGGAATGAGCTCCTCCCTGGAACACAGTGGTCCAGAGTCTGGCAGAGCTGCTGCCAGATGAGGTTGGTGAGCATTGCATCAGGGCAGATGCCACTGCAGGGGCAGGTTGAGGAGGCCTTGCCTCGGAACTGGTAAGTAGGCAGTAACATGGGCAAAATTTCATTCTCTGGGGAAGCTAATGGGGTTGCTTTCTTCATTCTTCAGGCTTCAACGTTTTTGTAAGACTGTGGGGTCTCACAGAGAGACTGTGCAAGCCCCATGATGAGAAGAATTCTCTAACCAGGGGCTGGGAGAGTTTATATGTGCCTAGCCCTAGCTGTGAGACAATTTAAGGTCTTACCTAGGGGCATCATGGATATCCCTGTCACCTCTTGTTACTCGAGGTGAGTGCCCATTCGGGTTAAATGGCAAGTTAGGGCTCAGTCAGACCCAGTATCCACACAGCTGTAGAACCATTACAAGCATTCACCATTCATTCAGAAATTATACATTTTCATTTTAGATTCTCAGTCTGTCCATTTCCCTGCAGACCAATCTAACTTTTCCTTAGAGACTAGTGCCACCTCAGTAGCCCATCAAGGCTATGGATGAAAATCTGTGGGGTGATGAACCCCATGTCAGCTTTCCTGCCTATCTCCCTGGGTTCTGAATGACCCGCCTAATCTCACCTTCTTCCAATTGGAGACTCCGGTCCTGGGTCTCACAGTCCCCTTGACCAGTAGAACAGGACCCTGGAATCCCACAGGCTTCCCAGTACCAGAGACCTGGGAGACCCAAGAGTGGCAACTTTCTGGACCAACTAGGGTCAAGATGAAGGAGATCTCATGGGCCGGGGGCTCCGGAAAGGTTGCCGATATCTTTCCGGAATAGGCACCCTAACCGCAATGAGAGTAGAGTAGAAAAGAGGAGATGTCACCAGCGGAGTGAAGCCAGGACAACTCCCGAAAGGCTTTGTTCCTGGGTCCCGTCTGTATTCTCATTTTACACTTTAGAACCACAAGGAGGGGTGGGCAAGCAAGCAAACTTTACTGGAAGCTTATGTAGCAGCCAGTAGGCTGTTGAGGGCAACGACTCATGCTTTAGCTATTTCTCCACGTCGGTCTGTTCCCGGAGCAAGTGAAATCATGCTTGGCAAATAGGAAGTACATGTAGTACGTGTAGTGCTGTCAGCGAGTCCCTAAATAAATCAATAGCCAGTAACCGGTCTTTCTACCATTCTGCGTCATAATCTCCAGGTTGGCTTAGGAGAAAATGCAAGGTGTATTGTGTTATATCATTGTATGAAGAATAGGGGAAGAATAAAGTGAACTTAAGAACTGTTCTTCCATGCTTAAAATACGTTCAAGAACATATGTATGAAACTCATTTGCCTGTGGGGAAGGTTATTCTGGTTAGGGATCCAGGTAGAAGGAAACCTTTCACTACCTACTGCATATATAATCCACTGATGTTATTATTATGTATTTATGTATTTATTTATTATTATTATAGTGTTGTTATATGTATGTATAGGGTCTGTATATGCTTAGCATGTGTGTGGAGGTCTGAGAACGGCATGGTGGAGTAGGTTTTTTTTTTTTTTTGACTTTTTGGAGATTGAGCTCAGGTCTTCAGGCTTGTGTGGCAAAGACTTTTGTCTGATGAGCCACCCCACTGCCATATTGGTCCACTGAATTAGAAACAGCATAATACCCTAGTGAATGTTAAACAAAGAAAAGTCTGATTGGACAGAGGTAGGTTATACCCGATCTTTTAATTTTGTCGTTTACAATTTTCCCCAATAGGTGGCGCTCTGCAAGCACCACGCTGTACTTTTTCCCCTTCACTGCTTTTTTGTGAGGGTCTGGGGGTAGGGTGCCATGACTTTAATACAGCGCCTCAAGCAAGCTTGACAAGTGCTCTGCTACTGAGTTACACCGCCACCTTCCCCAAGCTTGGGCTTTTATTTTATTTTGAGAAAACCCCAGAATTTCTCTGACAGTTCTTCCTCTCTGCTTGCCACTTCTGCAGATTAACAGTAGGGATGAAGATCTCTCTACTGGGCTCTCTCTAAAACACATTGCTTTGATCCTGGGATGGAAAGGGCAATACCTGGAATGAGAAAGAAAATTTGTAATTGGTCAGAAAACCAACTGATGTTTTCAAATCTGTGTTCCTGATTGACACTGGTGAAGGGCTGATTGGATCAGAACTTCTGATTCGTTGTTAGGCTGGTTTTAGAAGTTAATAAGGTGGTTTTTTTCCCGCTAGATCAAGATAGCTAGGAACTCACAGGGAACTATCTCTGCTTTCAGAGTTCTGGAGATTAAAGGAATGCTTCACCATACCCAGTTTTGAGGTTTTGTTTTTTTATTTTTTGGTTTATTTTTATTTATTTATTTATTTTTTTGGTTTTTCCAGACAGGGTTTCTCTGTGGTTTTGGAGCCTGTCCTGGAACTAGCTCTTGTAGACCAGGCTGGCCTCGAACTCACAGAGCCCCGCCTGCCTCTGCCTCCTGTGTGCTGGGATTAAAGGCGTGCACCACACTGCCCTGTCTGAGACTTTAATGGGGTTAAGATTAATGTTCAGCATCTCTGTGGCTCAGGGCTCTTCTCTCAGAGGATTTACAGTTGCTTACGGCTCCCAAGTATTCATTGAGTCCTGGTACCAGTGACTTTAGGAGAAAGACTCCACACTCCTCTACCCACGCCCTACTTCTCATCCTTATTGCAAAGAGATTTGGCAACCTCTGGGAAGCATGCCGGTCATGCAGAGGCAGAGCCCCGCCCCGAGATGAGCGGTGAAGCACCCACTTACTTCGAGTACTGTTGAGCTCACTTCCTCCTTGGATGACTTCCTTGGAGATGGCTATATTGCTCATCGTCCCGATCCCTGAGGGGCTGAAGAGGACAGCATAACCATCCACTCATGTTTTATCCTTTATTAATTAATGTAAAGCATATCCATCAAATATTTTTATGAACAAAACTTTAGGTGATTCACAGCTCTAGGAGCCAAAAGAAAGAGGAGAGGAAGGGTCCCCCTGGAATTTCCTCATGCGTCTTTCTCAATCAGTGTGCTCTTCAGCTTTTTCTCACCAGCTCCTTACCTCGGTCTTTATGTTTCCCATGCTATCCAACACAGCAACCGTCTATTAAATAGCATGTCATAAGCGGATCTTTATCTCTACAGTAGCTTCCAGAGAACTTGCCCACAATCCTTAAGGTCCACCCCAAAGAACTGTGGCACCATTTTTCTCTTCCCTGGTTCTTTACCTGGTAGAGCTGTTCATTTGGCAACAGAGTCTGCTTGTCCGAAGCTGCACAAGAAATAGACAAAATATACATTTAAAGACAGAATGATAATTGAGTTATTCGCATGATGGAATTCTAAGTAGTGTGAGAGTCAGCTGCACATAAGAATATGGATCATTCTCAAAAGCACATTGTTGAGCAAAAGGAGCTATGCGCAAGACTACGTGTTGTACAAGTCCATTTCCACAGAACTAGAACCAAACAGAACACCTCTGTAGCCAGAAGTCAGGATAGCGCTCATGCTCAGGGGCAGGTAGCGGCTGGGAGTGACTGTCAGTGGGACTTCCATATGGTGTTGGTAACGCTCGGTTTCTTAAACTGGGTGTCGGATGCACAAGTATGTTTGTTTTGTCCACTTTATTTTAGCTGTATTCTTGTGATTCACTTTTCCATATGTAGGTTTTACTTCAATGAAAAGCTTCCTCCTCGGGGATCAGGGATGCAGATCAGTTGGTTGGGTGCTTAGTATGTGTGAGGTCATGAGTTTGATCTGTAACACAACTTATACAGGGCGCGTTGCAGCATATGCTTGTGATCCCAACACTTGGGAGGTAGAAGCAGGTGAATCGGAAATGCAAGGTACAGTTACATAAGACTTATTTTATTTTTTTAAAGAATGTTTTCCTTCTTTTTTTTTTTTTAATATTTATTTATTATGTATACAGTGTTCTGTCTGTATGTCTGCCTGCAGGCCAGAAGAGGGCGCCAGATGAGTGGTTGTGAGCCACCATATGGTTCCTGGAATTGAACTCAGGACCTCTGGAAGAGCATCCACTGCTCTTAACCACTGAGCCATCTCTCCAGCCCCTTCCTTTTTTCTTTCTTTGGGACAGGATCTCACAATGTAGCTGGCTGGCCTGGGACTTTGTATGTAGACCAGGCTAGCCTCAAACTTAAGGTGACCCTCTTGTCTCAGCTTCCTTAGTGCTAGGATTGTCAATGTGAGCCACTACATTTGGTTTCCATAAATAATTCTGTTTTTGAGGTTGGGTCTCACTATGTAACCCTTAGCTGGCCTGAAACTTGGTATATAGACCCCAGCCTTGAACTCCCAGAAATCTGTCTGCCTCTGTCTCTGGAGTGCAGGGATTAAAGGCGTGCACCGTTATGCCTGTTCTCAATAAAGTATTAAAACACAGAGAGAGATCAAGCATGGTAACTCATGCCTATAATCTCACTCCTTGTGAAGAACTGCAGGGATCTGAGTCAGCCTGAGCTACATAATGAGTTCCAGCCAGGGCTACCTTACAAGACCCTGTCTCAACAACAACAACAACAGAAAAAAAAAAAAGAAAGAAAAAAGAAATTTAAGAAAAAAAAGGCAAATCCCAAATATGCTAGGATAATAAGAAATGTCTTTCCTACTTGCCCTACAGAGACATAGGGTCATCAATTATGAATTAGCAATATGCACCAACAGTTTCCCTGCTGGGTCTGTCTTGATAAGAAGGAAGCCAAGGGTCTTAGTTGGTCCCATCTCTCAACTCAGGATATTCTTTTTCTTCCAGGACTGGGAATGATCTCAGAGCTTCACAATGCCACCTAAGTGTTTTATACTGAGCTACATTATATAACTATAATGTATATTTATATTATATATAATATGTTTATATTATATATAAATAACCTCAATTATTTATGTGTATTTTTTTTAAAGATAGGATCTCATGTAGTTTAGACTGGCCTTGAACTCACTCCATAGCTTTGTATGACCTTGACCTTCAGATCCCCCTTTCTCTACCTCCCAAACACTTGGACTACAGGCTCGTGTCACCATACCCAGTTTTATTCAGTGCTAGGGACTGAATCAATTCCGAGCTTGAAGTAGGTGAAGCAGGGCTCTAGTACCTGTGACACATCTCCAGCTGCCCCTCTTCATTTCGAGACAGGGTCTTATGTAGATCAGGTTGGCCTCAAACTTTCTATGTGGCCAAAAATGATCTTGAATGTCTGATTCTCCAGTCTCCTCTCTTGAGTGTTGGGATTATAGGCATGTGCTACCACATCTGGTTTGAGCGTTCTGGGGCTTGAACCTTAGGCCTTGTGCAAACTAGATAAGTGGCCTACTAATTGAGCCCCTACCCCTTTACAAATTTAATTTTAAGACAGAATATTAAAATATACCTATATTATATTATATTATATTATATTATATTATATTATATGTAAGGTTGCCTTGGCAGCCTTGAACTCAGGGCCCTCCGGCCTGAGCCTCCTAAGTACCTAGGATTACAAGCATGTAGCACCACATTTAGCTTGTTTTACCTCGTGACTGCCGAACTCCATCTTGCCCAGCAATGAAGTATACACCGACAGCAAGGAAGAAGATGCTGATGATTTCAGCGAAGATAAAACCCGATATGGTACCCAAACTGAGCTCAATGCAGTTCTCACACACTGTGGGGAACAAGACACAGGGAGGGCTAGCCCTCTCTAGGAATGTAAGGTGTTATTGCATCTTTCCTTTCTTCTGCCCACCACCATCAGTGCCTCTGCCCTGGGCAGCAGGAGCTGCCCTCTCTGTGTGGTATTACGATAGAGGATCCTTGCCCCAAGAACTGTTGCTTGCCAGTGTTCCTCTCTGAGAAATTCCAGGGATGCCTAAACAGTTCTATCATCGGGAACTCAGTGAAGGAGAAGGAAGACCTGATCTCCAGTCTCGACAACCCCGCTCTCCTCTCCACTGCACAGTCCCCTCCTCCTAACTGATTTATTTGTTGAGCTGCTCTAATCCATGTGGTCCACCTAAAAGTTAAACAGGTCGTACAGGGCTGTGCTTTCTCAAGACACTGTGGGAAGTGTCAATTTAAAGAGTAGTAACCCTAGACAAAGAGAACCAGCTATTATTATTACCACAGATCACTGCTTAGCATCTGTCCCCACCTTGTCCCAGACTGGTAAGCCCACCAGAACAGTAAGTTCTGCTGAATTAGGGGTTACATACTTCTGTAATACACTTGGAGTGGCTTTGACTTGTCCTTTGCTCCTTGACACCAGTACACGCCGCGAGGGTCTTTGGTCCTGCTTCCTAGATTCCACTTGTTTTCAGTTGCATTTGGAGGACTTATTCTGTTCCCGTCTTTAAGCCACGTGATGGTCTTGTCTTTCAAGTCACACAACAGAAGTACAGACCCATCTCCTCGTTTGTCATCCACTTTTACCACATGGTTTTCTGGAAAGGGGTAGGTCATGGTTCTGTTAAGGGGCTTTGTGATCGTACCAGAAGACTAGTAGAACACTGTTTCTCCATTGTTACGGCGCATGCGAATCACACGGGGACCATGGTAGAATTTCAGCTCTTATTTAGAAGTTCTGGGGAGGTGAGGTCTGTTACTAACATGCTAATGCTGCTGGTTCGGTCATGTTTTAAGGCATGCTTAGTTACTAAGATCCTGTTTCTACTGCAAGAACCAGACAATTCATTGCTTAGGTCTAGGAAAACTGCCCAGAATGGGTCCCAGCAGGACACTGATTTGGTTGATAATGGAAATGTCAGCTCTCCAACTCTTACCACCTTATCTTATCAAACTTGTTCCTTTTCTAAATTACGAGACTATTGTTTTTTTTAAATGAATGTGTGTATGTGTGCATGTCATGTATGTACAGGTACCCACAGAGGCCAGAGGAGGGTGTTGGGTGTCCTAGAGCTGGAGTTACAGACAGTTGTGAGTCATCTTCTGTGGGTGCTAGAAACTGAACTTAGGTGCTCTGGAAGAATAAGAAGTGTTCTTGACTATTGAGTCATCTTCTCAGCCCCTGAGACTACTGTTGTAGGAAGCCGTACTTCTATGGAGTTTTTCATAATTTGAGAATAGAGAGGAACCATTTCTCTTACCTTGTTTTTTCTGGGCCACAATACCTGGAAAGATAGAAGAAAGATAAAGAATCAGTTTGGCATGGGCTTGTTCTGATGGGCCAAGGTATTCACATGGTCACATGAGGTCAAGATCAAGAGAGATACTAGTCCATGGCAATGGCTCCATCTGTGTTCCTCTCCTGGATGGAACCTAAATCACCAAACTCAATTACACATTGCTGTGTTTGGTCTTTGCGCTACCTTTCTGGGTGGGATTTTTCTTTCTTCCTTTCTTTAATATTTATCTTATTATTAGTTGTGTGTATCTGTGTATGAACATCAGAGCAAGTTCATGTGTGCATGAGAATTCAGTTGCCTGTGGAGACAAGAGGCATCAGCTCCCTGGATCTGGAGTTATAGACAGTTGTGAGCTGCCTGTCCCAGATGCTGGGAACCAAACTCAGGTCTTTTGCAAGAACAGTAAATCCTTAACCACTTAGCCATCTCTCCAGCCCTGCTGCGTGTGAGTTTCTAAATCTTTGGGATTTCTTGAATGATGAGTGTGCCTTTGCTGTTCATGGTAGACCCTTGGCTACCCTGACTTTATGCTAAGGAGATGATTTGAGAAGGAGCTGGTAAAGTTTTACCACCTAGGGAATGAAGATTTTGAAGCTGCTATTAATGCCAGTGCTTATACAAATGTGTATGAACGATAATAGAAGACTTCATGATGCAGCTTTTAAAAGTTTCTATCCACAATGGGGTGGGGATTTACAGGGATGCAGCTGTTTTGAGGCTACCCTCAATCCTGCAATAAACCCCCCACCCTTTCTTTGTAAATAAGCCGACTAAACTGATTCTCTAAACTGGACTTTGGTGGAATTATTATTTTGATTTGCACCAGTGTCCTACCTGAAGCGAACAGATCATTCATGTCTCTCCAGGAACAAGATAACATAACAAATTGGTGCTCAAACATGGGTGTGGTAGTACCAAAGCACTTGGGAGGCTACAAAAGCCTTTCATGGCTCTTGCTTTGGGTAGTAAGGTATGCAACCGAGGCTGAGCATCTGAAGGTCGAACATCACGAGAGCAGTTCCAATATGACGGTCCCTTCCCCCATGTGGAATATAGTGGTGGACGTTTTTGCTATGATAGATGCATGGGCCTCACTATAGGTAAGGCTGGACCATCAGAAAGTAAACTGTCCATGGGGGATATCCTGGGGTGGCTGTTTTAAGGATTTAGTAAATCTCAGCCAGGTGGTGGTGGCTCACATCTCTAATCTTGGCACTTTGGAGGCAGAGGCAAGTGGATCTCTGTGAGTTTGAAGCCAGTCTGGTCTACAAGAGCAAGTTCCAGAACAGCAAAGATTACACAGAGAAGTCCTGTCTCAATAGACAAAAAAATTAATAAAACTTATAAAAAATATGAGAAAGAGAGGTGTGGATGAACACCTTTAACCCCAACACTTGGGAGACAAGGTGTGGAGATATCTGAAAGTCTACATATTGAGTTCCAGGATAGCCAGGATACATAGTGATACCCTGCCTCAAAGAGACAGGGCGGGGGGGGAGAGGAAAAGAGAAATAATTGATTCATTGATTCTGCTCAAGAAAAAATGTTTAGTAGAGGAAATGACATTTGGCTTACATTGAAGAACAAGTAAAAACTTACCAGATAGCGAAAGGCTTTTTGGGTGGGAAAAAATAGCTAATTAAATATGCAGATTTGGAAGAGGTGAGGGAAGTGGTAAGGCTCGATGTGGAGTTGGTGATGGGGGAGCTAGTCATGAGTCCAAGTCTAACAGAAGTAGTTGGAAGCATCAACTGTCCTACAACTTCTGCAGGCTGATGCTGTTTATGAATGACACCAGCATACTGCCTAGAACATGGGAGGAGCCCCATCTGCCAGGTGAATGGTTATGGGAATGAATCATGTAGGTGGACAAACAGTTAAATATATTATTATTCTAAAGATATATTTTATATGTATGAGTGTTTGCTTGATGTGTATATGTGCACCGTGAGAGTGCCTGGTGCTGGTGGAAGCCAGAAGAGAACGTCCCAATTTCCTGGAACTGGAGTTACAGACAGTTGTGAGCCACCTTGTGGGTTCTAGGACTCGAACCCCAGGCTTCTACAAGCACAGTAAGCATGCTCTTAAGTGCTGAGCCATCTCTATGGCCCCAAACATGTTTTCACTAGTCCTTATCTCTAATTATTTGGCTATTGTAAGAGAGCAAGGAGATTCTTCGTTTTGCTTAGAGTCAGTAGGAGCGGAGATGGTAGTGACCGCTGACATTGTTGACATTTGCATATCTGAGTGTAGTCTCTTCAGACTCAGGAACCCACATCGCCAAATTTCCAATAGACTGGTACGAGAATTGAGTTCAGTGGGCAGTGGTGTTTAAGTGTTCACAACTTACTGGTCGCTGAGCTAGATCAGGACTTGGCTTTTCTGTTGCTCAACCTGGTATTCTTACTTTCAGTATTGCCCTTTAGCCTGTGCTGTCTGCAGCTTTCTCCGCTTTCTCTCAGCGAGGCTGCTCCCCTCTCTCCATCTTCTCCACGTCTCCCACTCCGCTGTCCTACATGGAATGTCACCATAGTACCACTGCCTCCCTCCCTGCTTTGAGAGAAGTGGTGCTGTTGTGGTCCCATCCTGCTTCCTGTCTGATGACAAACCCGCCTCCCGAGAGCCCCTGCACCTGCTTTCTGTTGCCCTCACCCACACTCTTGCCTTCCTGTGTGTGCCCTTGACTCTGCCCTCCGTCTTTCCGAATCTACTCTAGACTTTTATTTTGCGCGTCGCCATCTCCTTTAGCTAAAAAATGTACTCACCCATTTTTTAATTAATTTATTTTTTTTTCAAGATAGTCTCTGTGTAGTCCTGGCTGTCCTGGAGCTCTCTCAGTAGACCAGGCTGGCCTTGAACTTATGAAGATCTGCCTGTCTCTGCCTAGAGTGCTGGGGTTAAAGGCGTGTGCCATCACTGCCCGGTCATTGTTTATTTCGTATGCTCCTTTTCTCTTTTACGCCATCTCTTCCGCCTCTCACTCGCATCCTCTCCAGCAGTTCCTACCCTGCCACATTTTATCACCCACCCTCCACTTTTTTTAAATTTTTAGCCATTCTGGCATCTCCTCACACCACTCTACTGAAACCGTGCTAATCAGTCATGATCTTCATTTCACCAAATTCCACAAATTTAAAATTTAACTGTATCCTTATATTAGTAGATTATGTTAGACATTTTCTACCTGGTTTGTTGTTGTTGTTTTAGGACAGGGCTTTCCACTGTCTGGGCTGACCTAGAATTTGCTATATAGCCCAGGTTGCCCTGGAACTATTGACTTTCCTGCCTCTACCTCCTGAGTACTGAGTTTAGATGCTGCTACATCTAATAAATATTTCCTACTCTTGGCTCCTCACAGATCCATCCTCAAGTCTTTGTTCTTGACATGTCACAGAAGGGTTTTGTAGTTTCAAGAACTTTCAAGCCTTTAGTAAGGTGTGGTAACTTACGTCTCTATCACCAGCACTCAGGAGGCTGAGGCCAGAGGATTGCCTATGAGTTGGAGGCCAGCCTGGGCTACATAGTAAGACCCTGTTAAAAAGGAAGGGAGTGGGAACATTTTGATGTGGCAGGTAAAAGGATTTGTTTTTTATTCTAGGCCCCACATAGTGGAGAAAGAGACCAGTTCCTTCAGGTTGTCCTCTGATTTCCATGTATGTATTACGGCATGCACATAACGAACAAGCAAACAAATAAATAAGATAATTTTCTTGACTTTAGCTTCCCCCAGGGTACCCAGGTTTAATCTAGTTAACCTACTTCCTGGTGGTGAACTAGTATGTCTGTATGCACACACAGGTATGCCTATGCTACATCTTGTGCTCAATGTGTCAGCAGTGAAACCCATCTCTCCAATGACACCTGAGCTCTTGCGAACAGAAGGTTTTGGTTCATCCCTTTCTTCTATGGAGTCTCACATATCTGGATCTTGGCACGCTTGTGGACCGGTTAAACAGCTTTGTGGGCAAATGTTTCGTAGATCCACTGACTGTATCCCTTTCTCCCAATTTTCTCACCTGGGCCATGTCACCACGTGTGACGTGTGTGTGTGTGTGTGTGTGTGTGTGTGTGTGTGCGCGCGCGCGCGCGCGCGCACCTGACTGAGCTGAAGGTGGTGATGTGTCGAGGCTGGCTGGCCTGCTAGAAAGCCTTGGGACCCATCAGTCCCTGCCTTCCCAGCACTGTGATGACAAGAGTCAGCCACCACACCCTCATTTTAAGTGGGTTCCAGGGATCGAATTCAGATTCCCTTGCTTGCCTGCTAAGTAATCACCTTTTGACTGAGTCATTACCCCAGCTGCACGGCCCTTCTTAAGTACATTCAGGCCTAAGATGGCGGCAGTACCATCCTCTCTCTAGCCAGTTTAGCCCTTAGGTCCCTGTGCTTCTTTCCGGAAGAGAACAGCTGGAGGCTTCCTTTTTGCCTCTCCTTTGAATTCTAAGATGACAGATGAAGATGGCTCAAGTTTAGTTAGGATTCCAATAACCTTGCCTCCCCGGTCATGGGTCATGGCCTCGTCTCCTGAGCCTTTCCCAGGCTGTCAGACCCTCGAGTAAACTCTTACCTTGAAGAAGAAAGATCACCAGGATGAGGCCAGTCAGACCCTTCCCCTGCTCCATGTTGATCTCTTTCCTTCTCTAGTTAAAGTGTGGAGGTTCCTCAGCAGCCAGCCAACCAGCCTGTGTAGCCGCTAGCCTGGCTCCTCCCACCCAGCATCCTTTGAGCTGGGGCAAAACCCAAAAGTGTGGGCACAGGGGCCCCAGTGGGGATGGTGTTGCAAAGCATATCTCTTGTCTTGTTTGTTTTTTTTTTTTTTTGTTGTTGTTGTTAAGACTTACGTGGTGTCTGTCAGGTAGCAGGGAGGGAGAGTGACAGTTCTGAATTCCCACTTGGAACCTTCCTTATCCTTAGAACCTCTTTGCATAAAACAGATTGAGGACCTATTTGTAGTTGTTTCTGGGACTAGACTTGTTGGTCACTTGATCCCAGAATTCATGATTTTGGGTAAGGATTTTAGGTGTGTAGGACTGGAGTTCAGAATGGAAAAAAATATCTTACTTAGTGTAGACCTTCATTGAGCAATCTTGTCATTGTTTTTTTTTTTTTTTGGGAACATCAAAATGGAACCTACCTGAAAATAGGTAGGCCCATCCCAACAGGACAGCTAGCATATCTCTTGGTTCACAGCCCTGGGAGATTGCCAGGGTCTCAGGCCATTGTCTCAGTCAGTCAGTCAATGGGTAAGAGAAACTCACAGAACTCCTATGTGAGTGACACCAGGCACAAACATAGTTCTGTCCCCAAGCAGATGACCTTCTGACCATGGCAGAGTGGAAAGTTTCAGATCCCCACAGCCTGTTGTAAAAAAAAAAAAAGTTTACTGTCTGCTTAGGAGGCTGTTTTACAAGTGAGTGGATTATATTGTTTTGAAGAATCTCATACTGAGAAGGCTTGAGGTGGCAGGCACCATGGAAACACCCTCCCGAAATCCTTGTGGTGACACCGAGTGAGACCAGCTCTGCCATGTTTGGTGCCATGGGCACTACATGCTTGATCTAGGATTCAGATATCTGGCCGAGGGGTTCTGAAGTCCATCTGTCCAGCAGTAGATTGATGTGGTGGCCCAGATTGCCCCGTGAAGGGTCCCCAGACTGGCCAGAAATGAATGGGAGGAACCGCTAGTGTGGCTTGTATTGGGCTCATAGCTTTTCTCAGTGGATTTGAAGAGGTGGCACTTCCTTGTTTGTAAGTAAATGTAGTGGTGTTGTCAACAGGATGCCTGACATTTTTTGTATTTGTTACCAGTGGCCCAGGAGAGGCTAATTCCCAATCTCCTTTCCCCTCCTATAAGTCAGAATGAACTTCCCTCATAGTCTCTCCTTGGCCTTCTGCCTTTTCTCCCAAACTCTTCTCCTGAAAGAGAAATGTGTACCTGCTTCCTTCCTACCCCACCCCTGGCCTAGTCTTGCCTTGACAGCCTCCTATCATCAAAGGCAGAGAGTTAGATTTCTTCTAGCTCCTCCCCCACTCTTCCTTTTTCTGAGTACCCATGAGTCTGCAGGTGGAGGGTAGTGTTCACTGTGGCTGATTGTTCCGTGGCTTGCCTCTATTTGTTGGATGAATTCCTCTGGAAAATGGATCATAGCGGGATTCTGGCTGGCCTGATACTGGCTGCTTTTCTCCCTCAAGGTAAGTGAGGCATCTTCATCTGTGCGGAGGAAGGGACCCCAGAAGGGATGGTGTCATTGGAAGAAGTTCACTGGAAAGGGCATCTCAATGCTGACTTCTGTTTACCAGGCAGGGGAGGGTCAGAAGGGTGGGGTTGGGGAATAGGAAACAAGCATTCGGTTTTGACCGACTCCAGTCAAGGCTCACAGTGGTCTTAATGGTATCTCCAATGACCTTGGACCAGATGTCTGTAGAAAACGGTTTCCCATTGCACGTGCCTGGGCCTAAGGCTGATAATGGAAAAAGTTACACCCATTGCATCTTCTAAGGCAAATGGCCTCCTGGAATAGGCTCTTGGTCATTGATCATCATTATGTGTTTGTTTGTTTGTTTGTTTTTTGAGATGGGTTTCTCTAGCTTTGGAGGCTGTCCTGGAATTTGCTCTGTAGACCAGGTTGGCCTTGAACTCACAGAGATCTGCCAGTCTTTGCCTCCCGAGTGCTGGGATTAAAAGCGTGCACCACCACCGCCTGGCTGGCCATCATTATATGACCACCAGAGCCACAGTTCAGAATTCAGGAGCAATCTTAGAGAAACGTTAACTTTAGCTGAGTGGGAAGGACAGACAGGATAGATGTGATATAAGTCAGCAGATGCCAAGTCTTCTCAGTTTGTTCACTTTTAAAACAGAAAATCGGGCTGGGTAGATAGCTCAGGGGTAGATCTCAAAAAGTGCAAGAGTACAAACCAAACTAGCCCCAAAATAACCCTGGAAAGCTCACATCTCAGAGGCCTGGGAAAATGGGTCAAATGGTCACTCGAAAAGCTGTCCTGGCCACCAGCGATTTCTACTGGAAATAACTCCAAAGAAGATAGGTAGGACTGTAAGAGGGAGGGGTTGTACACACCTGTGTCTTCCCTCGTACAAGCTCCTGCTTTGGAGGCAGGAGGAGCAGCCATTTCGGAGGTTTCTGGAGGCCGCTCTTGCGTTCATATTGGTGACTAAATATGAAGCTCAGAGATATCTTTGCTGCTGCTGGTGGTAGACACAGCAGTGCCCCGTGGACTGTGAGATGATCTTAGGGGTTTCTAGGAGGGCCCGCTGTGCTTATCTCTGGCTCCTACACCCCTCACAAGACTTGACATATAGGGAGCCTCAGAAATAGACTTGATATGCTTTTTATTTTTGTGGCCCTTTCTCCTTAAGCAAGTGTGGCACCAAGGTAAGCTAGAAAGACAGGAGAAATTGTAGGGACACAAAAGAGAAAGGAACCTATCACCCCAGACACTAGTTAGAGCCTCTCGCTAGCTGAGGCTTGAGAATTTCAGCACTATTAGCATTTGCCGTGAAAGTTGGCCCCGTACTATTCTTTTCCTATACAGGCATTTTGTGTTAAAATAGCAACCAGACAGGCTTACTGCCCAAGTGTATACGACCTTGGGGTAGGGCCTCATTCCTCTCCAGAACATTTTCTAGATCTTCTGTCTTCTGGCATCTCCAAATCTAGACTTTTACTTAATCAATTGTAATCCTGTCAGATGCCCATATCAACTACCCTGTGAACTCATTTAGTTTTCTTAGCAACTCTATGGGTAAGAACTTCAAAACCCACCAGAATAGTGTCTATGGCTGTTTGTAAAGACAATGGTGCACCTCTCTGGGAAACTTCGGGGGTGCCTCTTTCATTAACACTTCTGCTTAAAATCTATATTAAAATGCCCTTATATTAATATAATGTAAGTAAGTTATATTAAGATAAGCCTCAATTTGCTTCATTACCGGCGCATCTTAAAATTTTCTGTTGAAGTAGAAGATCTGGATCTTACTCGAGTTAAGTTTCTTCAGAGATGAAAAGATCTCCTCAGGCTGCTGCAGGGGACAGTGCCTGTGTCTTTGTCCCAGCTGCCGCTGACAGAACGACTTTTTTTTTTTTTTTTTTAGATGGGATCTCCCTTACTCTGTAGCCCAGGCTGGCCTTGTTGTCTCAAGCCTTCTGTCTCAGTTTTCCAAGTGCTGAGCTCATCGATGCAAATCACTGTCTCCAGTACTGGAGATCGAGTCTGGGGCACTGTCCATGCCTCTACCATTGAGCTGTGTTCCCAGCGAATCTTCTTACATGGACTTTGCCTTGGGAAATCTGGATCACTGGGCTGGTAGTTCATACAGCTCCTCTCTGACCCAGAGGTTAATGGCCCTGGAAAAGGCTTTCATAGTGAGCCTCTCTTTACTCTGGCTGATACTTGCGTGGATAAAACAGAGGAGGAAGAGGATGAGAAGTTGAAGTGAGAGAGTTACTGGCTGGGAAGAGAAACTAGAAGTCTTTAGTATAAAAGGCACAATCGGCCGGGCAGTGGTGGCACACGACTTTAATCCTGAGTGCAGGCGGATCTCTGTGAGTTTGAGACCAGCCTGGTCTACAAGAGCTAGTTCCAGGACAGGCTCCAAAGCTACAGAGAAACCCTGTCTCAAAAAACCAAAAATAAATAAAAATAAAAGGCACAATCTCTAGGCTAAGAACATCCTTCTGCCTTCTCAGGTCTCCTGGAGGACCCAGTGGTTTAATTGGTGATCTGAATTTATTTTTAAGTGGCTTGGTTTTCTCGTTTGCCCCCAAGTCACTCAGGAGCTACGTCCTAGTTTGAATTTTGTCATAATAAAATACTTTGACAAAAAGCAACTTAAGGGAGGAAGGAATTTATTTGGCTTCCAAGTTCAGGTCAGTCTATCTTTAAGGGAAATCAGGGCAGAAACTCAAGCAGGAGCTCAAAGTAGAGGCCATGGAAGAATGCTCTTCCTGGTTCCCTTGCTGGCTTACGCTTGTACAGCTAGCTTTCCTATACAGCCCAGACCCACCTTCCTAGGGAATGGTGCCACCCACAGTGGTCTGGACTCTTCTGCATCGATAAGGCAATTAAGACATTCCTTTATACTAGACATGTTCACAGGGCCAATCTGATGCAAGCAATCCCTCTTCTCAGGTGACTCTAGGCTGAGTTAAAGCTGACAAAGCTAATTGGGATGATCTGTCTTCTGCTTGGACTACAGCCCCATGTCCTTCCTAGCCCTACAGTTTCTGGAGACCATCCTGAAGTCTTCCTCTGGTCGCTTCTGTCCTTTCACTAGGAATCATAAAGTTTAGCACACAACTGATCCATAAGTATTCACTTCAGCAGAGTGATGGGACACCTACACACCAGAGAGCTGCCTCTGATTATGTTTTTCCTCTTAGGAAGCTTCTTCAAGATAGAAGTGACTGAACATGAGGACCAAGTATTTGTGAATTGCAATTCCAGCATTGACTATGTAGAAGGAACGGTGGAAGCATGGTTTGCAAAAAATAAAACACTGAACTTGGGAAAAGGCATCCTGGACCCACGAGGGATGTATAAGTGCAATGAGACAGAGGGAGTGTCTACTATACAAATATATTACCGAAGTATGTGCTTCCTGGACCCACTGGGATGAAATCATGGGCCCCCTGGATGTGAGAACGATTCTGGCTAAAAGCAGACTGTGGTGAACCCATTTATTCTCTAAACAAACCAAGGGCACTCATGGCGGTATGAACCAGATTTGTCAGGGAGTGCTTCAGAATGGGAGAGAGTTTGACTAAGACAGGCAGGGACTGGCTTGGAGTGGGGCTCGATCCATTCCTCAGTTAAAGTCCCATGAATGTCATGTTTCTCTCCAGCAATTCCTTGAGATGAGGGTGGAGATGGAAGTAGCAAGGTCTTTACCATCTCACTGAAGTGTGGGTCTTGGAATGGGGAACCTAGAGTCTTTCTAGGAGCAGAAACAGTTCCCTTACCTTGAAAACTTTCTTCCTCTCCTCCCCCATAGTGTGCCAGAACTGTGTGGAGCTGGACTCAGCTACTGTGGCTGGCGTCATCATCACCGACCTCATTGCCACTCTGCTCCTGGCTTTGGGAGTCTACTGCTTTGCAGGACATGAGACTGGAAGGCTCTCTGGAGGTTAGTGGAAGGGCGCTCTCTCTCTCTCTCTCTCTCTCTCTTCTCTCTCCTCTCTCTCTCTTTTCTCTCTCTCTCTCTCTCTCTCTCTCTTCTCTCTCCTCTCTCTCTCTTTTCTCTCTCTCTCTCTCTCTCTCTCTCTCTCTCTCCTCTCTTTCTCTCTCTTCAGTCTTCTGAGGGTGAGGGAGGGTGTGACTGGCTTCAGAGTCCCCCTACAGTGTTCACAGGTCCCATTGTCCCATCTTCCCCAGCTCCCAATGACTCTCTTTCCTTGCTTCTAGCTTCTAACATTCAAGCCCTGTTGAAGAATGAGCAGCTGTATCAGGTAAGCCCTGAGGGAGGAGTCAAGAATGGGAGAAGGGAGTGAGGACTAAGGGACCTGGCAGGGCGGGTCTGAGATATGTGGAGAGTTCTGGGGGCAGTGGCTCATCCTTGGATGTTGGGAGAAGTCAGGTGTGGGTACCAAGAAGAGTTCAGATGCTGACTAGGTGTTGTGTTTCTCATCTCAGCCTCTCCGAAATCGTGACGATACCCAGTACAGCAGTCTTGGAGGGAACTGGCCCCGGAACAAATGATCCTGAGACTGGGAGACTGGGGCTTCTCAGAGTGTCATTATCAAGTGTGCCTTCCCTCTGTGCTCAGCCAATAAAGCTGTGTTCTTTCAGTCAGCAGGCACCTGTGTTTTACAAGGCATGGGTTGGGGGTTGTCTTAGCTTGGCTAGGATCTTGCCCACCTGTGGTCTCCCTTCAGTGCTTCCTTTCCTCAGTCCTATACAGGCAGTATGATGGACAGCTTCCTGTCCATCTTGGCCTGTTGGTGTTTCTAACCCGGTGGGTTTTCTGTGGGGAGGATCAGCCTAGCCACTCTCCTTCAGCTGCATGTTGGTTCCAGTCCCTATCATAACAACTCTTTGGGGTTTTGCTGCCTTACCACAGCTGGGGGTAGGCCGCCGTGTTTAGAAGCTGAGCCGCAAAAGTTTCCATGACATCGTGAATGGGGGGTGGCAGAGCACCAAAGAGTACTGGGACTCAGAGGGTGTGCGTGCAGGCGTGTGTGTGTGTGTGTGTGTGTGTGTGTGTGTGTGTGTGAAAGAGAGAGAGAGAGAGAGAGAGAGAGAGAGAGAGAGAGGAAGAGGGAGGGGGAGGGGGAAGGGGAGTGGGAACTACTAGGCTTGTGGACCAAGCACCTTTACCTGCTGAGCCATCTTGCCCGCCCTGCTCCCCAAATTAATACAAAAAAACAACGAATCTAAGATAATTCTCTCAGTGCTTTACTGTCTTGCACTGTGCAAATTCATTCAGCTTTGGACCTGAACACACAGCGTTTGCACCAGGCATTTGTCCACTGTCAGGCTACTCAACACCAATCAGCATTTCCTGAAACGCCTTGTTTGAGATCCTCGAACTGCACTGATCTGAATGGCACTGTTCTCACTGTACATTCAGTGTCCTGCTGTTGTAGAAACACAGTGGTTTCACATGGAAACAAATGCTTCTAATATTTTCCCACCGTCATCCCTCAGCATCTAAGTATCAAGTGAGTACATATCAGTACTGTGTTAGGACGCTTGATTTTCAAATTGTTTGAGCTGCTGGGTTGAGTTTCAAAAAGAAAGTTAAATGAGTTTTAGCTTGTGAGCAGGACAGAATTTCTTCTAAATTTTGAAATGACCCTAAGTATACTTTGCTATTTTGTAGAACATATTTATGTAAAATGGTGTTCTCACCATGGACAATCATAACATTTTTTAAAGATTGGAGATTGAGTTTCAGGTATCCCAGGGTAGTCTCAAACATATTAGGTAGCTAAGGGTGACCTGTAGCTTTCGTTTTCAGTGTTGAGATTATAGGCACATACCACCACACCTGGTTTTGGCAATGGCAGGGATCAAACACAAGACTTCATGTACAGTAGGCAAGCACTCTACTAACTGCGCTAAATTCCCAGCCCTAAAAATAAAAATGCTGATCAATTCTAAAAACATTGATGATGTTAATATGTTCTTGATATAAAATATTCAGCCAAGATTTTTCTTTATTCAGAAATAAATGAACATATCCATCTTTCATCTTAAAATAAAGACATCTTTTTTTGACATTTTTATTTTTAATTAAATGTGCGTGTCTGTGTGGGTTTGTGCAGTACCAGCAGGGGCAGAGGAGGGTGTCTGATTTCCCAGACTGGAGTTACTTGAAGAGGGTACTGGGAGCCAAACTCAGTTTTTCTTAATCACTGATCCATTTCTCCAGACCCCCATCTTTCACCTTTAATAAATGGTAACACATACATATACCAAAGAATTATTTTAATTTTTGTAATTAAAGATATTTGCATGTGCCCATGCCCATGTGGAGGTCAGAGGACAGCTCTTAGGAGTTAGTTCTTTCCTTCCACATGTGAGTTTCTGGGGGAAATCTGTCTTCAGGCTTGGCAGTATACCACTTTATAAACTGAGCCATCCTGTTGGCTCCCAAAACTTTTTTTTAAAAATAAAAATGCTTATGATTTACTTTTGGCAAATATTTGATTTTTATACCTGTTTTATATACCTATTTACCCAGGGTTGTGTAAAAAATTCTTAAGCGAAAAGGGGTTTTGAGTAGAAAAACAATGTAAGAAGCCCTGAAATATTTTCCATATTATTCAAGGAATGTATCAGTTTAATTTAGGCTGTGGAATTTATTGACCTTAAAGTTGTCATACTGTTAAGCTCTTGCATATTGGTGCCCTCTCCCAGTGATTCATTTTTTGAGACAAGCTCTCTTTATGTATTCATGGCTGGCTTGGACCCTGCTCATGGTCTAGGCTGCCTTAAACTTGCAGCAATCCTCCTGCCTCTTGTTCCCAAGTGTTGAGATTACTGGAGTGTATGACCACACCCAGCCTATCTCATCTTTGTTTTCCCCAACTCAGATTATTAGAAGATGGAACCTTTGTAAGAGATTTAGGTGCTGAGGACAGAACCCTCCCGATTGGGATTGGTGCATTCACCCAACAGGCTTCCAAGCGATTATTTGCCTCTTCTGCCATGGAGCCTCTAGCTCTTCCCCAGTGCCTTGTGCTATGAAACTGTAGCAACTATATCCAACTCTGGTGGCCACAAGGCTTCCTCCAGATCCTTCCAAGTAACTGCAGTGTTTTATGTGTGTTGCTCAGTCTTCAGCTGAAGATAGGAGGAGCTCCCCCTCAGACTGTTAGACCCCTATGCTCTCCAAAAACACTACAAGTCTTGCTCTCTGTCTCTGCCTGCTTGCTTCACAGAGATCTCTAGACTCTGCCTTGGTTCTCCCCCCCCCCCCCCCCAGCCAGCCTGCCTATTAGCCATTGGTGAAAGGCAAAATCACCAAGGCCTAGAGAGAAAAAGTGACCTGTCAGTGGAGAGCTGTCTACTACCAAGTCTGAGGCTGAGCGCGAACAGCTTGCGGAGAGCAGCCCGTCTCAGAAGCCAGATGTCGTGTAAGAAGAGCCCTGAAGTTTCAGGGATGTGTCTAATGGCAGAAAGGGAGAGAAGCGAGCCTGCTGGTCTGAGCTGGCTTAGGGCAGCTTGTCTGGGCTCTGGATTCTGCTCTCCTGCAAGCAGCGTGTGTGGGAGACTGAGAACCAAACCCTCTCCCCACCGGCCTCTGCTCTCTGGCTGTCACTGCGCCTCTTTTAACCTCACTCCCAGCACAACCCACATCCTGCTGTTTAACCACTGTCTGGGGCTTCAGGCAGCTGCCTCCAGGGCAGGAGCCAGCTGAGAGCTGAGAGCTGCCTGTGTTCCCTCTGCTCCCTTCAGCAGTGTTTCCTGACAGCTGGGAGAAGAGCTCATCTCAGCTCCAACTCCCTCTGCACTCTCCCTTCTTTTCTGGTACCACCAGCGACCTTTCCGGTCCCCTCCATCTTATTCATTTTATGGACCAACCACTCCATCAGCCCCCCCCCATCGATACCTTTGATGATTTGATGCATGTGGAGGGCAGTGAGTACCCACCCCCTCCAATAGGCAAGCACTGTATTGAATCTCTGGGAGTCTGAATTGCCTTAGGACACAGGCTGCTTCTTAGGACCTTCCAGAAAAAAAGGGACCGCAACTTTTCTAGTCAACACACTTTATTGCTTTGCCACTAGCGGAGAGGATTCTGGTATATTCACAGAGATGCAGATGACTATCTAAATAAAGATTTAAGATAAAACCTGGAAAGGGGCTCACAGCACCTGCTGGGCTAGGACCTCTGCCAAATATCACCCAGTCCATTCCCAGAGAAGGGTGTAAAACACAGAGTTGGAAATACAGAAAGCTATAGGGAAGAGCTGCGGAAGAGGGCCAATTTATATGCAGGAAAAGGAGGGGACTGGCAGCAAAGATAACATCTGTGCAAAAAAGAAGGAGCTGGCAGGTACTGGGGGGCTGGAATAAGCATCCTGACAACATGGCTGGCTGAGGGTCTGATCACCCATGATGCTTCAGAGGATAGCGAGGCAGCAACATCCCAGTACTGAACACTAGCAGAGGAGGCAAGAGAGGAAGCAGAGGCAAGGTTCCAGAACATGTTCACCAGATGGCTGAAGAACAATTCTGTGGGGTCCACAATTTGTCCAGAGAGCAGGGAATAGCATGGTGCTCAGAGGGCTGGGGCTGGGTCCACGGAAGGCAGCATCCCTTCTTTCTGTCAGACTGCTCTCTGATTCAGGCCAGAATACAGGTCCCGCTGGGCTTTGCGGATGGGCTAAGGGTGGAACAGGATCCGTGATTGATTAGGAGGACAGGGGGAGGAAGGAGATAAGGAGGAAGAAGCACTGGGGTGTAGGCTGCCTGTAAGGTAAGACCTCTGGGCTTGGAGTTGAGGGAGTCTAGTTGTAACTGGTACAGATTTGAGCCAGCCACCTCCTTCTGGAAGCCTCCTACCCAGTAAGGGAGATTGTAAAAACTTGCCTCTAGCACTTTTGTCAAGCTTAACTGGAGTTCCTGAGGGAACACTAAATACCCCATTCCTGGTGCTCAAATTTTGTTCAATTTGTCCAGCGTGATAGAGAAAAATTTTAGCAATTGCTAGTGCATGGTCACAAAGAAGGCAGCCCTGGCGCCAGGTATTAAGTCAGATGGTGGCCTGGTGGGGAAGAGCTATAGTGCCTGACTGTGCACGCATGTGGTGTGTGTGTGTGTGTGTGTGTGTGTGTGTGGTGTGTCATGTGTACATGTGTATGTGGTGTGTATATGTGCATGTGTGTGGTGTGTGTGCCTGTGTGTGCCTGTGTGTGGTGTGTCATGTGTACATGTGTACGTGTTGTGTATATGGGCGTGTGTGTGTGTGAGTGTGCACGATGGAGGGAAACTAGGGGCTATTTGCCCATCAAGCACCACCCTATTTTAATGACCGGTTGACAGCACTGGCATCTGCCAGAACACCATTCTCATCTATCAGGTTAGCATTTGCGTAGGTGTTATCCTCCACAGCTGAATCTCAGACAACCAACAAGTGAGAGAAAGAGAGATGTCTCCCTTCCTCTAGTCCCCTGCCTCTACATGGTTGTGGAAGCCAAACAGCCTTGGAGATAGTCCTGACTAACATGAAGAAGGCGGAGAAGGCACAGGGGTAGCCTGTCTGGGAGCCCTGGGTGTCTTGCAGACAAGATGGACCGTGCCAGTTGGACTCCTCTCTAAAAGGAGCCCCCTCCAACTTCCTGCCCACTGTATCTGTTACCTCATAGTCTGGGTTGGGAACAGGTGGTGGCCGCTCCTTGTTTTGCACTGCAGAAAAAGAAGAAATATATTGTTTCCATGCTGAACACCAGTCTTGCAGCAAAGATGGTAGCTAGGAGATCCAGCCCAGGGGAGAGCGGGTCCTCTCTGTCCTTTCGTCTAATCTCCCTTTTCCACCCAGCCCTCCGTCCTCTTTTCTTTCCTTTGCCCCATCCCTGAGGGCTCCTACTCTGTTCTCATCACTTGTGATTTTGCTCCAGCTCAGGTTCTCCCATTCTCTCTCCAGGCAGAAGGAAGGGGACAAGGTGGGAACTAATCCTGAGATCTCTCTGCCCACAGTTTGGAGGTTGAATCTGCTTCCTGCAGGGCACTGCCAGGCAGCTGAGGAAACCCACTGCGTCGTTGGTCAGCACGGGTTTTCAGAGGTTTTTTAGGGTGGAAGGAGAGGAATGATCTTGGACGGGAAGCCCTCTCTGTAGGGGTCTTGGTATCACAGAGAATGTGCTACGGAAGCCGTTTGGAATCTGCTGTACAGTTGCTGCCCATCCTGGCCTGGGCCAAATCTCCTCTGACCCAGCTCTATGGTTTTACCTCTGGGCCTGCCACCAGCACCGGTTCCTCGGGTCACAGGTTTGGCCTTGGCCTTTCTATTCTTGCTCCAGTAATAAACCACCATCAGCAAGCCCAGAGTGATGCAGATGTCGACGACGATGATTATGGCCACTGCTGTCAGGTCCACCTCCACACAATTCTCACACACTACAGGGGCAGGGGTCGGGGGAGGGAGAGAAGTGACCCAAAAAGGAAAACACCAGGACGTGGGAGAAGAGGAAGAAACAAATGAAGACAAGTCTTCCTTCAACACCTGCACGCCTGCCAGCACTAACCAGAGCCCTGCCCTGCGATAGCGTCCAGGGAGAATGACAAGCAATATGGGTGATTGTGGTCGGAGGCTCTGGAGTCAAACAGTCTCGGCTCCATCATCCATTAGTATGGGGATTTTCAGCCCACTCTGTTTTCTCATCATCTACTTAGGAATAAAACATGTGCTTAAGCTATATGGCTGGTGTGGGGATGGCAGGAAAGGACCCTGTGGTATAAACCTTGGGGCTGGAGTTCAGTGTGCCCCAGGCCCTTGAATAACTGAGGCATGTGTAGGGATTACAAATACACGACTTCGCCGGGTAGTGATTGCACACGCCTTTAATCCCAGCACTCGTGAGGCAGAGGCAGGCGGATCTGAGTATAAGGCCATCCTAGACTACAGGGTGAGTTCCAGGACCGCCAGGGCAACACAGAGAAACCCTGTCCTGGAAAAACAAAAATAAAAACAAAAACAAACAAGCAAAACAACAACAAAAACAACCTCCAAACCAAATACAGTGCTGGATAAAGGCAGTACTTCCTATCGTCGATTGTGATGCCTTGGTTAGACTTTCAAGTAGTGGCACTGAGTCTCTCTGCAAGTCCTCCTGATGAAATGTATCTCTGATGCTGGTCAGTCTTGATTCTGAGTATGTCACAAAGCAAGTGACCCAAGCCTGCCTCTGGGGGAACTTGCTATTTTACGCCTAGTACCAACTGAAGTGGCCCAGACAATCCCAGGCCACTGTGAATCTGTTTTGCAGAAAATGCTGGTACTGTGTGGTCCCAGGGAGCCAAGGACAGAGTGCAGGAGGAGTTTTGAGATGACAGGGACTGTGGCTGGCTTGGGGGATTCTCGAGAAAGCTGTTTGGGGAGGAACCTGAGTTACCTTTTGCTTTCAGGTAGAGGTACGCGTTCTTCTCTTTGGCCTCTATGTAGCAGGCGTAGTAGCCGCTGTCCTCAACTTCCGAAAAATCACTTAGCATGAGTTTTTTGTTACTCTCTCCAGACAGTTCTTTGTCATTTTTTTCCCATTTTATTTTATCACTGTCTAGAGGGCATGTCAGTTCGATGTTGGTTCCTGAGATGGAGACTTTATAACCTGAGGAAAAAGAGAAAAGGGAAGGGGTTTGGAGGGGAAATCCATAAAAATTTCACAAATGGCAAATTGGTTCTTAAGAGGCAGCCAGATACAGGAGATTTTTCATCACTGGGGTTGAGATTTGCTTGGCAGAGGGAGGTATCCTGACTGGAAAAATTGGGAGAGGGGATGTGTGTACAGATGGAGGGGCAGAGAACCTTCTGGAAGGTGGCTTTAGAGAGTAGACAGTCACATAGGGAGTTGGAAAGGGGAAGGTAGAAGTGAAGGAAAGTCCACAAAAGTCCTCATTTGGTATCTATCTAAAGTAGATGCTGGGAATGTAACAGGGGGCTCTCAGTTCTTGGGGCTGATCTCCCCCAGTCTGTCTCTTCCCCTCCACCCATCCCCTCGTCTGTACTTCTGCAGGACATAAATAAAGTAAGCACTGTAGACTCACGTTTCTGTGCATGAGAAAAGAAAAGAATAGTAAGAAAACAATCCTGGTTTACACTTCCATTTGACGTAAACATTTTTCTAGAGGGAGTAGGTACCAACACCCCAAGAACTGTAAACCCCAGAGGTGAAGTCTGGAGTAAACCCCCAAAAAATATGCTCATGCATAATTCAGATTCAAACTACAGGAGCTTGTGCTCCCAAGCCTGAGCTATGGAAATTAGTGCGTTAGTCATAAGACGGAGTACTCTAGGGCTATTCCGCATTCAGCCAGAATCATCTTCCAGATAGCTGTCACAGGGTCTTAAAGATAAAGACCACCGTGCATTGGAATCACTGGTTCTCAAGCCTATATATTTCCCATGATTTTTCTCTTTTTGAGACAAGTCTCATGCACCCAAAGCTGGTCTCATATTTGTTATGAAGCTGAGGGTGATTTTCAGCTTCTGATCCTCCTGCCTCTAACTCCTGAGCTCTGCGATTCTAGGTGTACACCATCATGTCCTGTTGGTGTGGTGCTGGAGCTTGAACCCAGGACTCTGTGCATGTCAGGCAGGCACTCTGCCAACTGGGCCACATCCCCAGCCTCTGATGTTTTCCCTTAAAGCTAATGAAGCTGCTTGCTATCGAGATCAAATATCTTACTCAATATACTTTCCTCCACATTGCCTCCGAATGGCCCAAGGAACTCTGCACAGAGGATGGCTTTTTCTGGAAGGAGCAACTTGACTTTAACACTATCTCTGAGCATAATGAACTCTCCCTTATTTGGTTGGAGGGGGAGCTACAGATACAGACAACAGAAATTCACTCATAAAAACCACTATAATTCATAAAAACTATAACAGGCAAGCCGGGCGGTGGTGGCACACGTCTTTAATCCCAGCACTCGGGAGGCAGAGGCAGGCGGATCTCTGTGAGTTCGAGGCCAGACTGGTCTACAAGAGCTGGTTCCAGGACAGGAACCAAAAGCTACGGAGAAACCCTGTCTCGAAAATCAAAAACAAAACAAAACAACAACAACAACAACAACAACAACAAAAACTTATAACAGGCATCACTGTCCTAAGCAGTGGGCTGGCAGTGGTCCTTCTGGAAGACTTGTGGCTGGATCCTGGACACTACTGAGATATGCCACAGCCCTGAAATGACAGAATCTAAACTGGAAGAGAGAAAATGGTGGTGGCATTTTCTCAGACACAGCACGTTCCTAGGGAAAGACATGAATGACGAGGCTGTGTGAGGAGGAGCAAGGCGCTCAACCTCTCTGAGCTTCAGTTCTTTCTTTTTCTCTTTTTGAAGTCTTTATTGTTTAAGACAAAGTCTTGCTATTTTACGTGGTCTGGTCTCACATTTTCAGCCTTCCTGCCTCAGTCTCTCGAGGGCTGGGATTGCAGGCCTGCACCGTGGCTCCCAGTCTCAAGTCTCTTCATCAGGGAAGAGGAGATAAAATGGGCACTGCAGAGAGCATCTGAGAGATTCAAAAGAATCCCGAAGGGGAAAGTGGATGCACATAGCGGATGCTCATGAGAAACGTGGCTTTCTTTCCTCCCTCCCTTCCTGGGATCCTGCTTCCATGGAAAACAACTGAGCCCTAACCCAGTCGCACCACAGCCTTCTGCCTGGGACTTCACACAGCCCGCTCTGCCAGCCAGCAGCTGGAAGCTGGGTATCATCCCAACAGAGGATGACTTCGACTTAATAATTTTACCATTGGTGTTTTCTAGAAAGCTTTTGTGAATCCGAAATCACAAATAAGATAGACTAAAAGTAAACAGACATTCAGACATTACTCTATGTTTAGGAGGTTTTTCTGAAAACATGTAAAAAATTGCTTACTAACTATATTTGTCCAAATTCAACATCAGAGTGTTGATTTACAAGGACCAGGAAGTCCATGTTTAGAAACAGACGTGTTCACAGACAGTTTGTACACATCCATGGCATTTCACAATGGTTAAGAAATTGAGTTTCCTATAGATTGCTTATCTCTTATTAATTAGATTATATTTCTAAGTTTTCACCCCCCTTATTTAGGGCAACAGCTAGAACATATATGCACAACAAACTTTAACATTTATTCTTCTACTCAAGTACTAACCAGTCTGTCTGTGCTTAACTTCCAAGATATGTATCTCTCCAACCCCTCTCTCTTTGAGACAGGGTCTCACTGTGTATGTAGCCTTGACTGGCCTGGATCTTGCTATATAGAATAGGCTGGCTTCCGACTCACAGAGCTCCATCTGCCTCTGCCTCCAGAGTGTTGGGATTAAAGTCGTGTACCACCATACTCATTTAATCCCTTTTAAACAATTTAAAAGAAATTTTATGTGTATGTATATACGAATGTTTCCTTGTTAGTATGCACACATGTACATGGGTGCTCACAGAGGCCAGAAGAGGAGGCCAGGTTCCCTGAAACTGAGTTCTGGGAACTGAACTTTGGTCCTCTGAAAGAGCAGCAAGTGGTCTTAACTGCTGAGTCATCTTTCTCTAACCCCCCTCAAAGTTTGCTCTCTATAATATATACATATAATATATTATACATACATAATAATAGATATTATACATAATATATAAATGTATATATATGTATATATTATGGAATAGCTTAAGAGCCATCTACTGACTTCTGTCTTGCAAGTACTGTTGTGAGTGTCTTAAATGAATCAGTCACTAAGTCCTCACATCAATGCTACAAGTTGTTTCCATTTTACACACAATGGTCAAATGGCACAGATATTAAGAAGTTACCCACTGCCTGGCGGTGGTGGCACACATCTTTAATCTCAGCAGAGGCAGGTGGATCTCTGTGAGTTCGAGGCCAGCCTGGTCTACAAGAGCTAGTTCCAGGATAGGCTTCAAAGCTGCAGAGAAACCTTGTCTCAAACCCCTTCCCCCCCTGCAAAAAAGAGTTATCTATTAACACCCAAGAAGGAAACTGAATCAAGATTCAAATAAGGCCATCAAGTCTCAGGGTTAGATTTTTGTCTCCTCTGCCTCAAGCATCCTCTGACTGTAAAGTACAAGTAAAGCCTATTCAACTCTGCTCAAGATGCCCACCTGAGCCCTCCTCAGCTCTTTGCAGAGTTTGCCATTCTTTTTCATACTTCACGTTTTCTCTGCACCTACCCATTGCATGTAGCACACTGTAGCATCAAATATTTGCTTCTCTTAAAGACAACTGGCTTCTTGAGGACAAAGAACTAGCAAAATATTAATATTCTGTTCATTTCTTCATGCAAACACTTCATTGAGCACCCACTATGGGCAGACACCAAGAACAGGCAAATGAAATGCCGTCTCTGCCTTCAAAGAACTTAGAGTTCACACAAAAGCAGACAGAGAGGCTGCCTGACCCACAACAATGCGTGTGCCTTTCCCTCGCAGTATGCGCAGGGACTCATGCATGTACAGCTCTAGCCAGCCATGGAAACTAGTGGCCCAACCCGGCACATTGCACACAGATACCCCCGTCTCCCTCCGCTAGCTCTGGTTCCCACTGCACTCTTGTTCCCATGGTGTCTGTCGTCTGATTAGTTTGTTCCCCAGCTGAGAAGAGGCTGAGAAGAGCGAATCCTCTTACCAAAGTCCTCGAAATCTGAAAGGGAAGCAACACAAGCTGTCAGTTACATTCTTATCTGTGGCGGAGATCCGTCCCTGCTCCCATGGGCAAGGACCCTCCCCTCAGTCTCAGCATAACGGGTCTTGAAGTTTCTTTGGCTGTATGTGACAAGCTGTTTGGAGTCTTATGTTCTACAGCCTGTATCGCTTGGCTATGCACAAAATGGCTGCTGTGGACACCGGTTATACATGGAAGGGGAAGGAGCCTGCTTTGAATACACCGTTGCTTCTCTCCGTTCGGAGGCACTGACTGAATAGAGAAGCTTCCAAGATTGGGACAGTCTGGATCTATCTGTTCTGACTGAGAATGTAAAGTTCAGGCTAGTGCATACATAAATACCCACATTCAGATTATGGTTGTGGGTGTGTACCCAAATGCCACCCCAACTAGGGTTACCCTATACACGCATCTGGCCAACCTCACATCCTCTCCTAACCTCATATCAAACAGGAAAAGCAGAAGAATGAAAACCATTGGTACTTTTAACTTTTTTATGTGTATGTTAGCGATCCTGTATGTGTGTGTGTGCATGCATGTGTGTATGTGTGTGTGTGTGTGTGTGTGTGTGTGTGTGCATGCATGTGCATAGAGGCAGACATTGGGTACCTTCTGCAATAGTTCTCCATCTCTTTGCTTTTTCAGACACGATCTTCCACTGAACCTGGAGCTTGATGTCTTGGCTAGACTGGCTGACTAGTCCCAGGGATCCTCCTGTCTCTGCCTCCACAGTGTGTGGATTGTGCTTGCTTTTTTTCAGTGTATGTTTTGGGAATCTAACTCAGACCCTCATTCTTCTCACACAAATATTTTACCAACTGAGCCACCTTCCCAGATCTACTGAAAACTTTTTAACATTTTAGGTTGTTCATCATTTTCTGCAGTCTCTTTGTTCCCTAACCTGGGGCACATCTATGAGGCAAAGGGGTGAAAAATCTCTTTCACTGTTGCCTGTGGAATCTCTATGGGAAGCTTTGATAAAACTGCACTCCAAATACAGTCAGTTCTGAGAAACACATTCTTCAGGGACTTGGTCATTGAGTGAATGTCACAGTCCACGTGTACCCAACTAACGTAGAGAGCAGAGCTTGTTCACCTAGACTACAGTGTAGTGTGTGTCCACTATTGACCTAGACTATAGTGTAGTGTGTGCCCACTGTTCACCTAGACTACAGTGTAGTGTGTGCCCACTGTTCACCTAGACTACAGTGTAGTGTGTGTCCACTGTTGACCTAGACTATAGTGTAGTGTGTGCCCACTGTTCACCTAGACTACAGTGTAGTGTGTGCCCACTGTTCACCTAGACTACAGTGTAGTGTGTACCTGATGTACACCTAGACTACAGTGTAGTGTGTGCCCACTGTTCACCTGGACTACAGTGTAGTGTGTACCTGATGTACACCTAGACTACAGTGTAGTGTGTGCCCACTGTTCACCTAGATTACAGTGTAGTGTGTGCCCACTGTTCACCTAGACTACAGTGTAGTGTGTGCCCACTGTTCACCTAGACTACAGTGTAGTGTGTGCCCACTGTTCACCTAGACTACAGTGTAGTGTGTGCCCACTGTTCACCTAGACTACAGTGTAGTGTGTACCTGATGTACACCTAGACTATAGTGTAGTGTGTGCCCACTGTCCACCTAGACTACAGTGTAGTGTGTGTCCACTGTTCACCTAGACTACAGTGTAGTGTGTACCTGATGTACACCTAGACTACAGTGTAGTGTGCCCACTGTTCACCTAGACTACAGTGTAGTGTGCCCACTGTTCACCTAGACTACAGTGTAGTGTGTCCACTGTTCACCTAGACTACAGTGTAGTGTGTGCCCACTGTTCACCTAGACTACAGTGTAGTGTGTGTCCACTGTTGACCTAGACTATAGTGTAGTGTGTGCCCACTGTTCACCTAGACTACAGTGTAGTGTGTGCCCACTGTTCACCTAGACTACAGTGTAGTGTGTACCTGATGTACACCTAGACTACAGTGTAGTGTGTGCCCACTGTTCACCTAGACTACAGTGTAGTGTGTACCTGATGTACACCTAGACTACAGTGTAGTGTGTGCCCACTGTTCACCTAGATTACAGTGTAGTGTGTGCCCACTGTTCACCTAGACTACAGTGTAGTGTGTGCCCACTGTTCACCTAGACTACAGTGTAGTGTGTGTCCACTGTTCACCTAGACTACAGTGTAGTGTGTGCCCACTGTTCACCTAGAATACAGTGTAGTGTGTACCTGATGTACACCTAGACTATAGTGTAGTGTGTGCCCACTGTTCACCTAGACTACAGTGTAGTGTGTGTCCACTGTTCACCTAGACTACAGTGTAGTGTGTGCCCACTGTTCACCTAGACTACAGTGTAGTGTGTACCTGATGTACACTAGACTATAGTGTAGTGTGTGCCCACTGTTCACCTAGACTACAGTGTAGTGTGTGCCCACTGTTCACCTAGAATACAGTGTAGTGTGTACCTGATGTACACCTAGACTATAGTGTAGTGTGTGCCCACTGTTCACCTAGACTACAGTGTAGTGTGTGTCCACTGTTCACCTAGACTACAGTGTAGTGTGTGTCCACTGTTCACCTAGACTATAGTGTAGTGTGTGCCCACTGCTCACCTATAGTGTAGTGTATGTCCATTGTTCACCTAGACTATAGTGCAGCCTGCTGTTCACCTAGACTGTATACTGTAGAGTGTTGTGTCCACTGTTCACCTAGACTGTATACTTAGTTGTTGTGCCAGGCCTATAAACCTCTGAAGTATGTAATTGCACTGAACAGGGAATCACAACACAGTAGTAAATATCTGTGTCTCTACACACAGAAAAGATACAGAGAAATACCAGGTGATGGGAACGTTCCAGTTCCATTATAATTGCATCGTCTACTGTTGTACATGCCATCCCTTAGTTACAGACTGAAACATTGTTATTTAGTGTGATGGCTGAACCAAGAACACTGGCTTGATTTCATAGCAAAGAAAGAAGCCATATCTTACCATCCTGCCAAGTGCCATCTGGAAAACAAACAATAAAAAAAGAGTTAGTAATGCTGTGAATGCCCGGAATTCTAAACAAAAAGATAGTGTTCCTGTCTCATTGTCACTGGCACTTAAAGTCCTTTCCACCCACCATCAGCTCAGTCCTTTCTATACACCATACAGGATGTTTACTGCAGGGTATTGGGCAGGGGTCCCCAGCCAGTTCAGGGGAAGCTGAGCAGGGAAACAACTGGCATTGAACACAAGTGCAGGGTGTTTAACAAGCAGAAGTTAATCAAGTTGAGGCTTCTTTCTGGGTGGCTCAAAAAAGAACAAACAAGGGTTGAAGCAGACTCTCCATTTTGAAAACTGTACTCTGACTTCAAAAGGAAAACAAGCCCTTGGTAGGTACAGGTGTTGGGGTTCTCTCGGTCTCTGGCTCCTGAGAACTGGACAGCTCAAATTTTCCATTTGTTTTCTGCTTGAGACAGAGGTAGGGATATTTGAAACCCCGACTACTCATCAGCTAGAGCCTGTGCATCCGGGCTCTCCTGGTCCCCTCACTCAGCACTGACTAGAGTCTGTTACAGTGATCAATCCTCCCACCCCCACACTGCCTGAGCCCTTTGTTTACGAACAGCTTCTGTATAGGGTGAGGTGTTTTCCTATCCCCATAGCAGGCAAGGCATATTGCTAGGGAGCTTGAGTCTTTAATAGTCTCCTTAACCCCCCCCCCTCTTTCCTCTTCAATCTTCCCTTCATTACATTTGTTAACATTTACCTATTTTGTATGTAGGCATGTGGGCACATACCTACATGTGTGATAGGCCAGAGAACAACTAACAAGAATTAGTCCTCTCCTTTCACACGTAGAACCTAGGGATGAAACCCAGGTCGTCAGCCTTGGTGGAAGGCACCTTCACCCACTGAACCATCTCAGAGGCTCTCCTCTTTTTAAAAAAAAAAAAAATTTATGTGTTTTCATCTATCTATTATCTATCTATCTATCTATCTATCTATCTATCGTTTTAATTAAAGGGAGAGTACCATTTACCATAGATCCCTAAGAAAATGCCTTGGCTGTTGGGACTTGCCCCTTGGGACTTCAAGTGTGTTCCTTAAACTAGTCTCAGATTAGTAAACGTGAAAGCTTTTCAGAAATGCGGAATGTTGAGGGAGGTGACTGCACAAGCTTGTAATCCTAGAACTCTCAAGGCTAAGGCAGAAGAACGTGGAGTTTCCGAGGAGCCAACCTAGACTGCATCACGAGGCTCTGTTTCACAAGCAGCAGCCACCTCACCCAGCACCCCACTGAAGATGTGCGTATACTCAAGCTTAAGGAAGCCAAGGCTAAGCAGGAAATGGAGGTACAATGGCTGCGGCTCTCAGAGAGGAGCCCAGCTGCCGCAGCACAGTGTTCTCTAGCTCTTTGACAGAAAACTCTGATGAGCCATTTTCCCTCACAAAGTGCAACCCTTCCGAGCACAGGCCTTGTAGACGGGGTTTCCCAGATCAACTGCAGGACTTGCTGACCTTTAACATTGAACAATTTTTCAATCCCGCGGTGATAACTTCTTCTGTGAGTCAGGGCCTGTACCCCCTTTCTTCCACAGAAGAAGTAAGAACTGAATTGGTTAACCCGTGGAAAGTATTTTCTTTACACAGCGCACACACTTAGCAAATGGCTGCTGTGCACTCAGGCATTATTTATATCGCATGTGCACTCACAGCTATTTATAATTTATACCAAGCCTTGCTTCAGAAAACGGACTAAACTAAGTGAAATCTCTTGGTCACTTTCAAAAGACTGGGAATGACAAAGGGTTTGTCTCAAAGCTACTAAGCTGGGCAGGGCCCGGATCTACTTATCGCCTCTCCCCCAAAACCAAGCGGAGCTCACTCTGCCCATTCCCTTTGCGTTCTAAAGTGTTGCAGAGTTTATAGCCCGATGGGTTCGTTCTCAAGACAGACAGACCTGTTCCCTCAGTTGATGTGATCCACCCAAGTGGTTTCCTCTGTCTGTCTCCTAAACAGTCTCCTCCACACCTGGGCTCCAGCCCTCATCCCCCCACCCCCTTAAACGACAGACATCACCAACAGTTCCTTGAATCTTTTAGTGAGTGAAGCACCAGCTGCACCAGACGAGTCTTGGAATGGCCTGGGAAAGTGCCTCCATTCTTCATTCTTGCCTACTCACCTACTAGGAGGCTGAGGCCCAGAACACTCCAGAAAGCGTACCACTGCATCCTTTGCAGAAGGCTCGCTCTACTAATATGGCGGACACACCCAGCTCATTACTTCTGAAAAGGAAACCGAAAAAGTTTTCAGAGTGCTGGCTGCATGTAAAGACTCTGGATCTTTTGTTTGCAATAACAGGATGAGAAGAAGGGCGCTTTTTACGAGGAGAGACTTACCATTTCTGAAGAAGGCACCCGAAGTAGGCAGGGGAGGCAGGTGTCTGAACCCCACACAGGAAGTAACCGGGCCTCTGGGCCCGCCTGCTCCACGTCACTTGGAAAGGTTTGAAATGTTCCAGGCAGAGGCCTCCGCCTCGGTTGACTGAGGAAATCTGGGCCTTCCGGCCTCCCCATCAGGAAAAGCAAGGGGGCTCTGGCAAACTGAGTTCTGTGAAAAACACTTACCTGTGCCCTATGCAAAGCATCTCCATACTGAGGGCGTCTTCCTTGTGCATAACCCCATCAGCCGAGGCAGGAAGACATTGAAACATTCAGTATCTATCTGTCTTCTTCCTTGGCTTTGAGCAGCAGGATGGAGCCAGCTCAGTAACAAGATCTGTGAGAGGCTTTGTTCTTTCTTTCTTTGAGACAGGATTTTGCTATAAGGCTCCCCCTGGCCTTTCACTGCACATGCTAAGCAGGTACTGAACCCTGAGCTACCGACACAGCTCCCTTCCTATGTCCTGACGTCATGTTAAAGGCTTTATTCATACACCCATTAAGGGAACTGCTATTATTATTATTTAAAATCTAGCAAAATCACTTCCTGAGTTATAAGCAACGATCTCTTTGAAAAAAAAAGCTTTCATTGAGTCTGTTCTCATGTATAACATGTCTTCTGATTTTCCCTTTCTCAACAAGTCTTCTTCATACAGTCATGTTTTTTAATTAATTTTTACATTATTGATTTGTTGTATGTGTATATGTGTGGGCACATGCATTCCCCAATGTGTGTGGAAGTCAGACGACAATGAGGGACTCAGTTCTCTTTCCACCATGGGATTCCCAGGTTTCAGTTCAGGTCTTTATCTGTTGAGGTATCTCTCTGGCCTTTCTAGTTTTATTTTTATGATATCTACTGAGTTTAACCAGGATTATCTGGGTGGCAGCGGGTTTGGAACAATCCGCTGGGACCTCAGTCAGTACAGGACTGAAGAAAATGACTGCCCCTCTTCCAGAATGCCTCAACAGCCCATAGCTCGGCAAGAAGGCTTAGGGCTGCATAGGAAACTCCCCAGTTCATGATTGCTGATAGTCCAGTCACAGGCAGATCAATTGCTGGCAGCCATAGCTACTGCAATAGAAGGTTCTGACTGCATGGCTGCGGCAGCCCCAGAAGACTGCATTGCTGCGGCAGCCCCAGAAGACTGCATGGCTGTGGCAGCCCCAGAAGACTGCATGGCTGTGGCAGTCCCAGAAGACTGCATGGCAGCGGCAGCCCCAGAAGACTGCATGGCTGCGGCAGCCCCAGAAGACTGCATGGCTGCGGCAGCCCCAGAAGACTGCATGGCTGCGGCAGCCCCAGAAGACTGCATTTCTCAGCCTTTCTCCCATTTCCCTACTCATATTCTTTTTGCCCATCCCCTGTCCTAGAAAAGTGATAGTATCAGGTCCTTTAAAAAGTCTTGTGTGTGTGTGTGTGTGTATGTGTGTGTGTGTATGTGTGTGTGTGTGTGTGTGTGTGAACATGTGTGGAGGTGTTGTGGAGACCAGAGGCTGAAGCTGAGTTCTCTTTCTCAATCCCTCTCCACCTTATTTTTGAGTCAGGATCCCCACTCCCCACCTTGCTACCTCACTCTCTGGATCTTGCTCCTTCTCCAAAATGATTACATTTTATTTATTCTTTCACAATTCCATGCCTATATACAATATATCTTAATCCTGTCCACCTCCATTTCTCCCTTCTACTCCCTTTAGACAGCTCCAATACATCTCTCCCCACTTGTTTTTTTGCCCCTGTAACACACTGAATCTTACTAATGCTGCCTGTTGGGATGTCGCCTGACCTTGTTGGCTTTGTCTCATGCAGGTAACCATGGCTGCGGTGAAGCTCATGAGTGTAACGGCCATGTCGTGTCCAGAACACAGCATCTCATGGCACCCCCCCATCCGTGGACTCTCACTTTCTCTCTGACCTCTCTTCCTCAGTGTTCCCTGGTCCCAGGGGATTGAAATTATGTTGTGAGGCTTGGTGGCAGGTTCCTTTTTCCACTGCAGCATCTCACCGACCTGATTCTTTAAGATTTTTATATAAAAAGTTTAATTATGGAAGCAATACACGTGCATATTAAAAACAATGAAGAGCTCGGGAAGGCTGGAAAACAGGAACATCATATCCCACCGCCTCCCACCCCATGCCTTTCCCCAGGGGAACCATAACGAACCCCTACTCTCTGAGTATATCTTCACATCTCTAAATGTGCACTGTCTTCCTTTGAGTTCTCTGGGAAACGAACCTTGAGGTGGAGATCTATGTGCAGGTGGCTCATGGGAATGCAGAACACCTGCAAGGCAGGGACAGAAGTTGCCTGAATGAGCGAGAGGGTCAACTTCGGAGAGGCAGCCACACAGGCCTCAGCCAACACCGGGGTGCTTTCCACCAGTCCACGAGTCCGGTGTTGTCTTGAATTAAGGCAAAGGGCGCATCACCCCATATAAACGTAAGCTGTTCCTGGGAGGGGGTGTGGACTTGGGTGAGGCAGCAGGTTCTCCTGAGGGGTGGCTCACAGTCAGAGATTCAGTCCATTATCACCATGGCAGGGAGCATGGTGGCATGGAGGCAGACATGGTGCTGGCTACATCTTGATCAGAAGGCAGCAGGAAATGGACTGTGACACTGAGCCGTATCTTTTTTTTCTTTTTTTTATTTATTTAATTATTAAAGATTTCTGTCTCTTCCCCGCCACCGCCTCCCATTTCCCTCCCCCTCCCCCAATTAAGTCCCCCCCCAGCCTGAAAAGCAATCAGGGTTCCCTGTCCTGTGGGAAGTCCAAGGAACCCCCACCTCCATCCAGGTCTAGTAAGTTGAGCATCCAAACTGCCTAGGCTGAGCCGTATCTTGAGCATAGAAGACCTCAAAGTCCACCCCCATTGTGATGCACTTCCTCCAACAAGGCCATGCCTACTTCAACAGGGTCATCCCTCCTAATAGTCACTCCCCAGGAGATTATGGGGGCTAGTTACATTCAAATGACCACACATCTCTCCAGCAAGATGCTTTGTTTAAAAAATTTACTTTGTCTTTGAAAATTTCAAACACATATTCAATGTATTTTGATTTTTATCCATCCCTATTGTCTCCCCCTGGCGCTCACCAACCTGCTTAGGATTTCATGTCCTATTATTATTATTATTATTCCTCTGAGCTCAATAAGTCCTAATCATGTGTGAGTGAGCATAGAGCTATCCACGGGGGCAAGGCCAGCCTACCAGCCTACCAGCATCCACACCCCAGAGAAAAGGGGGTCTCCCTCTCTTCTCATCAACTGTCAATAGCTCCTTAACTAGGAGAGGTGTCTCTGGACTCCCACCCCCATCCACGTGGGGATTTGACTACTCTTGAGCAGCTGTCATGGCAGGAACCACAGCTGCTTTGAGCTGATGTGTGCCATCAGTCATGCCGTTTCAGAAGACGGCACTTCACGGTTCTCCTTCCCATCCTTGGCTCTTTCATCCGTCCCGTCCACTCTGCTGCAATGTTCTGCCAGCCTTAGATAGAGGTTTGGAGGTGAGGTGCAGAGGATGTTTATTAAATCCATCAGGCTGGCAACTCCAGAAGGATATGGCATGTGACAGGACCAGTGGGACCATGTTCATCTGGACACTGACATGCCTTTTCAGTAAAGTGTATCTGGTTGTTGTAGGGTGATAAGGGCTCAGGAAAAATACCCTGACTTGACCTCAGAACCAGGGCTTGAAATTGCCTTAATCCCTGAGCTTGCCACAGAGTCAGGCTGCAGAATCCTGTCCCCTGAGCACAGAATCCCACCAATCCCTGAGCACAGAATCCCACCAATCCCTGAGGTCCCTAAGCTTGAAATGCCACCAATCCCTAAACCCACCCCAGAATCAGACCACCAAAAATCCATCAGTCCCAAACCACCCTGAAAAGTTCCATTTCCCAAAAAATCCTATATAAGGTTCTGTTTGCTGCTGTTTCTCACCCACTACAGCCACCCTTCTGGATTCTTCCTTCCCAATAAATCTCTTGAGTGAGATTTGTTGTGTGGTGTGACATTTTCACCAGAACACAGAAGTAACAACTTTTGTTGGAACTAGATGGGATCAGAGTGGAGCAGGATTGGAACAGAGGGGAACTGTAACATTTTCACTGGGGAAACCTTCCCGGAGTGGAGCAGAGCTGTTACACTGGGAGGGGATATGAGCAGAGCTGTAACACTTTGCTGGGGAAATGCTCCCCTGCCTGGGCAGAGTGGTTTCATTGGGGAAACCTTTCCATGGAGCAGAACTGTGAGCTGCTATGCTTACAGTGACTTTGTGGTATTCCTTGGCTCCTGACTGCCAGGATACTTTTCCATCCGAGCTGCAGTGCTTACAGCTATGATGCTGTGTAAGAGACAATGGGGGTGGAGCTGCTAGCATAGCTGCTAGCATAGGATTCTTAGATGGTAGGACTAGTTGAGGTACTGCAAGCAAGAAATTGAACCCTTAAACAGGATGTTTAAATAATTTATTTTATCAAATGAGTCCATCTGGGTGTGGTGGCTGACAGTTGCAATTCCAGCACTTGTGGGACTGAGGCAGGAGGAGTGCCACCAGTCTGAAGTGAGTCTGAGTTACGTAGTAAATTTTATTCCAGTCTGGGATACAGAGTGAGAGAGACCCTGTCTCAGACCAGCGGCGGTAACAACAATGACAGCATCAATGACAAGTCTTTCCCAGGCTTGGCCTGGAAAGATGCTCCACTTGTTGGTTTGCCCCAGGATGACACCAACTCAGGGACTCAGTTCTGGTACTCTGTCAGTGATGGCAGGAGCTATGACAGACTTGATGGGTAAGAGACTACACTACTGTGCCCAGATACAGCTCCACCATTGCCACCCCAGTTCCTGCATAAGCGTCATTGTTCCAGTATTGAGATGGTCACAGGCAGAGCTAGCTGACAATAACTGACTACTTCATTTTTTTCTACTTTGTGTTGTGTGCTTTGTCATACATATGCTCCTTCCCCAGATTTCTCTGTCCCCAGTCTTTCATTGTCACTTTT